CATGCTCAAATCTCTGTCGAGCTGGTCAAGGCCAAGGAAAATCTCAGGAAGTTTCGAGATGAGCAAGCTACTGAAGCCGTGAGGATGAAGGACTTCTGAATTTTGTATGAGAGACTGGAGGAGAGATTGAAGGAAGCTGAGGGTAATGCCCAACTTTACCGGGGTGAACTTGAGAAGTCGGTCACCGGCTCTTTCTATAATGCCCTTAACCAGCTCCAAGTACTTAATCTGGATGTGCCTCTGAATATAGTTGGTTTAAATGCTCGTGCATATGTCAGCAATGGTCAAATTGTTCCACCTCTTGCTGCCTCTCCCGCTAGTGACTCGGTTACTCAATTTGAGAGAGGGGGTGTTGTCTTTGAAGATGGTGATGAGGCAGGTAACCAACCCGCTAAGGTGATTGTGGTGTTCGAAGAACCTCCTGCTGGCAAAACTCAATGAAGGTCCGGGATGCCGGTTACCTTTGTAATTTTTAGTTTTATTTGGGGCTTTTGCAGCCCCTTTTTGATTTGTAATGAATATTGCCAGTTTTACCCCGATTTTAATTTGCTCTTTGAGCCTTTTTTCACGTCGTCATATTTCGCTTTACCATTTGACGTCTTGCATTTTATATTTTTCGACTTACGGTAAATGCATTTATCTAGGTATTCGATTTTCATAGACTGCCATGGTTGCGTGAAGCATTCATTGAACACCTCTAGATATTTAGTATTTCTTGGCACTCTGACAAATTGGCTTGTGCCTTTGTCATATCTAAGTTTATAACTTAGGCAATTTTCGCGTATTTTAAACGTTGTCCGAGTTGTTTCCATCTGGAATGGGTTACAGCCGGGGTACGTTTTACTTTCTTAACCCGTGCATTTTGCGAGTTCCATGTTAAGTTTTATCCGAGTTTATCCCATCTTTTGCGGCGATTGTTACAACTCAAATAAATTTCATTCTCTAAACTCGTGCATTTTACGAGCTTTATGTTCTTGACCTGGCCAAGGTCAAAGCATTGTACGGATTTCGCTTTCTGTCATTTTCCATAGAATATGTTTGTTTTGACTTAACCGTTTTGGTAAGTCTATATTAATAATGACTCTTGTCTTTACTGACTTAACCATTTGTTATAATTTGAATTTTGTAATTCAGTTTTATCTAAGGTAAAGACAACATTGTCACCTGTTCCACTTAGTTTCTGGACCAAAATAAGGAGCATTTTGACTTGATCAGAGTCATTGTGACAAATTGCACTTGTATCTCGAATTTTGTATTGATGCATCATAAATAGATAAGGATAAATCTTTAAAAGAAAAATTCCTCGTTTATTGATATCAAATTGTCAACTACATGAATTTGCCGACATATTCGGCTTTAGTGAAATCCCTAAGAGAGGAAAATACTTCGTCTACGAAAACTTCAAATAAATTGAAATGATGCAAAACTTAGAAGGTGGATCTCGAATTTAGCTGTAATATATCTTCAGCTTATCCGCATTCCAGGTTCTTTTAATTCTTTTGCCTTCTATTGTTTCTAGGACATAAGCTCCTTTTTCGAGCTTCTCTTTAACTCGGTATGGGCCTTCCCAGTTTACGGCTAGCTTTCCGTCTCTGGCGTTTTTTTTGCCAATATCTGCCCTCCTGAGTATTAAGTCATTTTTCTCAAAGATTCTTGTTATTTCTTTTTTGTTATATCTGGCTGCTATCTGTTATTTGGTCATTAATATCCCGGCAGTGAGCTGTAACTCTAGCTTCGTCAACAAGATCTAACTCAACATTGAGTAGTTTGCTGTTTTGTTGCTCACCTTGTTTGATACTATTTAGCCTCCTCCAGGAAGGTTCTCCAATTTCAGTCGGGATCATGGCTTCGCATCCATATGTCATTCGAAAAAGGGGTTTCCTCCATTGCAGTTTGGGTACTCGTTCTGTATCTCCAAACGACAAAGTATAGCTGTTGAACCCAACTTTCTTTGGCGTCGAACATCCGTTTTTTGAGACCGTCCACAATTACCTTGTTTGCTGCTTCAGCTTGCCCATTCGACTGGGGTGCTACACAGATGAGAAGCGATGTTTGACTTGTAAGTCTTTCATCAATTGTTAGAACCTTTTATCAGCAAACTGTGTTCTATTATCAGTTACCACCTCGGCCGGTATTCCAAATCTGGAAACAATGTTTCGTTCAAAGAACCTTTATACTCTAGCCGACGTGATTGTGGTGACTGGTTCTGCTTTTATTCACTTGGTGAAGTAATCCATAGCGGGCGTAGTCAACCACTTTAATTGTCCTTCAACAGTCTTGAAAGGTATGCGTAGATCTATTCCCCATTTAAAAAAGGGCCATGGAACCAGATATATTTGTCCTTCTGGTAGCCTTGAAAGGTCCCAGCAAGTCCATTTCCCATTTAAAAAAGGGCCATATCTTTTGACATATATTTCAGTTCTTCTGGTGGCCAATAATAACCAGCTCTTGAGGGCATGTTCTTTAGCCAAAGCTTTGCTCCCCATATGATAGCCATTGATTCCTTCATGTATCTCGGCCATCATATATTCTGCTTCTTCCGAGTTAAAACATTTTAGCATGGGGACATGTAACCTCTTTCTAAACAGCTGATCGTTCACAATTGTGTATTGCGCCGCATCTCAGACCAGCTTCCTGGATTCCAGTCGATCCTCTGGCAATGTTCCTTTCACAAGGTATGCCACAATGGGTTGCCTCCAGTCATTTGCCGAGGTGATGATCATCACGTAACTCGGCATAGTTATGCTTTGTGGTATCACGATTCTATGGTTACCTGGATTTTTGGTACTTGCCAATTTAGACAAGATATCAGCTCGACAATTTTTCCCTCGAGGAATGTGAGTAACTTGCACTTCATCGAAGTCGGCCATTATCTCTTGAACCTTGTTCAGGTATTTCACCAATAGAGGGCCTTTAGCCTGATACTTTCCTTCTATCTGTGAAGTCACCAGTTGTGAGTCTCTGAAGATTTTTACCTTCTTGGCTCCGTGTTCTTTAGCCTGCACTAATTTGGCTATCAAAGCTTCATACTCTGCTTGATTGTTTGAAGTTGGGAAGCCCAAGTTCAAGGAGTGTTCTATTATCACTCCTTCTGGACTTTCGAGTATGATTCCAGCTCCGCTTCCTTTGTCGTTGGAGGGTCCATCTACATAGACCTTCCAGGTATCCCCAGATTCCTTATGTTCCGGGTTCACCGGTGTTAGTTCCATTATGAAGTCGGCTAAAGCTTGCGATTTAATGGCCTTTCGACTTTCATATGTTATGTCATACTCATTGAGCTTAATTGCCCAGTTAGTCATTCTTCCTGCCAGGTTCGGCTTGTGCAACACCTGCCGTATAGGCTGATTAGTCCGGACTATTATCTGATGTCCTTGAAAATATGACCGCAATCTTCTGGCCGTGATCAGCAAAGCGAAGGCCCCTTTTTCTAGCTTTTGATATCTGACCTCATCACCTTGTAAGGCTCTACTGATGAAATAAATCGGCTCTTGGCCTTTATCAGTTTCCTTGATCAGGACAACACTTATTACCTCCTCCCTCACAGCCAGATACAGGATCAGAGTATCTCCTGGCTCTGGCTTTGACAACACTGATGGGGTTGCCAAACATTTCTTGACCTTTTCGAACGCGACTTGACAATCCGGATTCCAGCCTTCCATTGCTTCCTTCTTTAATAATTTAAAGAATGGGAGGGCATTCTCAGCAGACTTTGGTAAGAACCGGGTTAATGCAGCCAGTCTACCAGTTAACTGTTGAACCTCCTTTTTATTTTAGGGTACCTTCATATCAAGTACTGTTTTGCACTTGTCAGGGTTTGCTTCAATCCCTCTATGGGTTAACATGAAACCCAAGAACTTCCCAGCTGGGACTCCAAATGCACATTTTACCGGGTTTAGATGGATGCGATACTTTCTGAGCTTCTGAAAAGTCTGCTCAATATCTTGGACATGATTTGTCATATCAAATGACTTCACAATCATATCATTAATATATACTTCTACTTTTTTGCCCAGCTGACTTCAAACACCTTATTCATCATCCTTTGATAAGTTGCCCATGAGTTTTTAAGCCCAAATGGCATCACATTGTAGCAGTAATTAGCCTTTTCAGCAATAAAGGCAGTTTTTTCTTGATCCCCTGGGTACATTGGAATCTGGTTGTAACCAGAGTAGACATCCATGAAAGACAATAATCAAAATCCAGCCGAATGGTCTACCAGCTGGTCTATGTTAGCATAGGGTTGGAGTCTTTTGGGCAGACCTTATTCAGGTCCATATAATCAGTGCAAACTGTCCATTTCCCATTTGGTTTTCTCACCATCACAACATTCGCAAGCCATGTTGTGTACTGTATTTCCCGAATGAACCCGGCATCCAGCAACTCCTTCACGTGCTCCTCTAGGACTCGTTTCCTTTCTGGTCCCAACTTCCTTTTCTTTTGAGAGACCGGTGTGGATCCGGGGTAAACTGCCAACTAGTGGCAGCAGAAGGCGGGATCTATGCCTGGGATTTCTGATTTCCAGGCAAATACATCCGTGTTGCTCTTAAGGAACCCTGCTAATTCTTCTTTGACTTGAGGATCTATGGTCTTACCAATTCGGGTAAATTGACCAGGTTCTTCCCCGAGTACGAGGTTTTCTAATTCCCCATTAGGCCCAGCCTCGGGATTACTTCTTCTTTTATGTCCAGTTCCACCATATTAACAGGCTTCCTTGAATGGTGAGGAATCGTCTTCCTGCCGAGTTTGTCCCCCGGATGGATCCGGGGAGGACTCGAATGTCCGCCTTTGTTTTCCTTGACAGTGTCAAAGTAGCATCCTCTGAATTCTTTTTGATCTCCACAAACAGTGATTATTTCATTCTTGCTACTCATCATCTTTATCTTCTGGTGCTTTGTAGAGACCAGCATGTCCCATTGGTGTATGGTTGATCTCCCCAGAATTATATTATATTCTAATGGGAAATCAGCCACTATGAATCTGACCCGTTCTGATTTGAACGCTTAGTTTGTCCCCAGGGTCAACCTGAGATCTATATAGCCTTTAGGAGGTGTATGCTCTCCATTAAAAGCTATCAAGGTTGTTTTGCAATGTTTGAGGTCCTCCTCATCAAGGTTCATCTTTTTGAAAGCATCCCACAGTATAATGTCGGCACTACTCCCTGCGTCGACGAAAATCCTCTTAACTCGGCAGTTCACCAAGGTTCCAGCGATGACTAATCCGTCTACGTGTCCCGACAAAACACCATGCATGCCTTCCTTTGTGAAATACAGCAGAGGAGGGTCTGGTTTGCTAAGGTCCTCCTTGAATTTGGGACGATCGCGAATAGAAAGGACCTCTTTCAGATACTTTCGTCTGGCACTTACAGTGTCTCCTCCTCCTCTAAGGGCTCCACTAATTAAGTTACAATCAAATTTCACTTCCGGGAATTCATCATGGTTGGAATCATCTTTCTGGTTCCTTTCATCCTTGTTTTTCTTTTCAGGAACCGGGCTTTTGCTTCTCTTTCGGTTTCCAGACTTCCTTTTGTTATTTTTGGAACCCTGGGTTTTGATCACGTACTAGCGTAATCTTCCATCTCTAACAAATTTCTCCAGAGCATCTCGGAGATCCCAGCATTGATCAGTGGTGTGATCCGGTCCATCATGGAAAGCACAGTACTTGGACTTATCCAAACCTCCTCTGTCGAATATAGGCCGGGGTCTTTCTACTTTCTTCATCTCCGTCATTGCCACTTCCCTCTAGATTTGAGAGCGTGAGGCATTCAACGATGTGCATTTCTCGTATCTTCCAATCCGGTCTCGGCCATTTGGATTTCTATTTCTAGAGTCTTTCTTCTTATTACCAGTTCGCTCTTTTTCTTTCGGGACCGGGCTTCTCCTTCTCGGGCTAATTCTTTTACCTTCTTCAAATTGCGCATTTGCAATCTCTATTTGCTCGAGTTCGAGATACTTCTTTGAACGGGTTCTGAATTCCTCCAACGTCCTCACTGGGTCTTTGTAAACCGACTTGGCTAGCCTGGATGCTCCATCCAAGCCAGCCACAATGAGATGTACGTGTACATTCTCTTGTAAACCCGACACCTGCAACGCAACATCTTTGAATCAGTTGAGGTATTTCTGGAGAGTTTCTCCGGGTTGTTGACGTATCTTTCCAAGTGTAAACTCGGATTTGGGATGTTTCTTGCTTGTCGCAAAGTTTAAGGGAAACTTCTCCCCAAATTCCTCAAAGGACCCAATGGAGTTGGCAGGTAAGGTAGAGAACCATGCCTGCACAGCCCTAGTCAGAGTTATAGCAAATATCCGAGATACGAGGGGCTCATCTATCCCTCGGATGTACATGTCCGTATCAAAAGCATCGATGTAGACCTGTGGGTCTTGACTTCCATCATATTTCGTTAATCGCGCCGAATCAAAATCTTTTGGGAAGGGAGCATTAAAAATCTCCCCAGTGAATGGGCTGTTATTATACTGCCCCCTGCTATATTTTCTTCTGTAGGCACCAGGTTCCACGCGCCCTCTGATGATCTGTGCATTCTGGTTGGGGTGGATTCCATCCTGGTGTCTTTGCCCATTTGCTTCTATTGAAGCGTTTTGAGTCAGGGCCTACACAGCAGCGTTCTGGTCACCCATTGTCAGGTTCTCCAGGTTCGGAATCATCGTGCTCACCGGATTAGGCCTTTCTCGGTTTCCCACCTCAATAGCCCGGTTTTGATGATCCGAGTTGCGATTTCCTTCCCGGCCATTGGTATCCTAGCCTTCGGTTCCTCTCGCCCCTGGTCCAGTCACCCCCATTAAGCGTTGTTCCAGATCTCGCATTCTCCTGGTATTCTCCTCCTGTATCCATTGGAAGTCTTGTTGCCGCTGGAGGTTATTACGATTCTCCATCTCTGTCATTCGCTGCAAAATTGCAGCAAGCACATTTTGAGCCAGCCGAGAGTCAGGATCGGCAGACTGGGCAACGTGGGCAGCCAACTCCCCAGGATGTTGGTGGGGGTTGTTCAGAATTGGGGTAACAACTCGGTTGCGGGGTGCTGGAGTGGAGGTTGTATCTGATACGTCCTCGCTGATATGGACGTGATCATAATCCACATCGTTTTGAGGCTGGTTTTGAGGCTGATTCACCTCTTCCAGAACTGGATCCAGTGGTTGATTCTGGTTTTGGGGTGGCTGCTGGCTACTGCTCCTTGTGTGGACTACCATCCTTAGTCAGATTCGTGGGAATATCAAACTCCAAGTTGAGAAATCTCCTCACAGACGGTGCCAATGTTCTGTCCTTGGGACAGAGATGTCCAGCCCAATAGGCTAGTATGTTACTCTTGGATCTAGTTCCCTCTCCAAGGTATCTATGGAGGAGATACCTTTGAGTCAAGCAGATATCTGTGCACAGAATACTATTAACGGCGTTAGCCAATGGGGTGTGTGTGTGTGCGCATAGTGACAGCATAACAGTAAGAGAGAGAGCGTAATGTATCTTTAGGGTTTACCTTGTATTTATAGAGGTTACATGTGGGTAGTGTGGATGGGCCTTTGGTGCCTCTGATAAGGGCCCATGCCTGCTTGCTATGTTGTCGTATTAGGATTAGTATCCTTGATGAATATCTATCTGTGATTACATTAGATTTACATATTAAATAGCTCCTTATTGAACCTGTCACTTAATGGACCCCTTATACGGGTCCATAACAGTAACCATACCATTTTCCTTGTCTATCTATGCCAACTTATTTAAACACAGTCAAAGTCGGTGGTAACCCCTAGACAAGGTACAATAACGACATATGCTCACAGTTTATCATAGCTTTGTTCAATCAACGCTTTACTTCTAAGATTTGTAAAGGCAAATCAAACAAACTGTATATTCAATGAAGTTCACTGCTCACCCTTTTGATTGATGATAGCACTCAAATTCTATCACCCTCGTTGGTAGACTAATTGTCATGAACTCAATGAGAAAGTAACCAATGATACCTCACCCTTTAGGTAGCTCTAGTTTGGTAAGATTCTGTCCCAATCATTACCTGGTCCAATGCATGCTAACCACCAATTTACTTTCTTTTTTTTAATCTTTTTTCAATTTGTGGCTTGGATTTTATTTATTTTTTTCTTGGATTTTCTCTTCTTCTTTTTTATTTTTCAATTGACTTGAGTAGAAAAAACAACATTTGTGGCTAGCTCTTCACATGCTACCACACTAGAGTCTTGTACTTGCAAGTTTCAATTCTTCAAAGGTGTGGGGACATGAAGAAAAAATGTCACACTGGTGACAGTAAGTGGAGGATATATCACCTACCCACTTGCTAAGTACATGATAGTTGTTGTTTACCAACAAATTATTGAATATATTTTACTCTAAATTTTTGCTTAAATCTACAAACCTTTCTAACTTGATTTTTGAGGAGGATACATGAAACCCATCATACATCAAAGAGACCTAATCAGCTTGATTAATTTACCATAGTCAGTATACCTACTGAGTATATCACAAATTCATGATTCTCAAAATGGACTTTTTTTCCAACTACTTATTTGTATTAAACTTAAAGGCTAGTATTTTGAGGCCAAGAGGGCCATAATTGAATATAACCAAAGTCTAATTCAGATTCTGGCCTTGTCATATCATCAAAATCAAGTATCTGATGGTCCATTTCTGGCGCAACAGCATAATTCTTTGATAGGAACTGATCCTTGTTTGACTCAGTTGTTTCACCTACTACTCCAAACTCATTCTCAAAGTCTTGGGACCACTTCATGCCTTCAGCATCTTGAACACCCTCTTCTCCAAAATGAAGGCTTTGGCTAGCTGGGAACTCCTCTGATTGGATTTCATTTGATTGGAAGGATCCAAGGTTATCTAATGACTTCCAAAAATCATAATCTGATTCCCATGGTATTTCAAGAAGATTGTTTGGTTTATCCACCTCTTGTAATGTATTGTCAACATCATAAAGTCCTAGATAGGTTAATGGACAAGCCAATTCTTGTTCTGGTTTGTAAGCAACAATCTGGTTTGAGTTTAAGATATTTGACTCAACACAAGACAATGAATTTGATGACTCTTTTGGGTCTTCAGTAATGATCGTAAGTTCATTAGATACTTGTTTTTCAGATTCTTGCACAATTTTCTCTGTCATTGTCACTTGGGAAGCTTGCACATTAAATTCATTTACAGGACTAGTCTTTGCTAGATTTGGTCTCTCATTTGATAAAAATGACTCAGATGAAGATGAAGATGAGGAAGTGATTGATGATTCTAACTTGGATTCATCTGCACTTGACTCTGAACTTTTCAGAGCCAATCTTTTCTTCAAGTGTGTGTTCCACACATTCTTGATCTCATTGTCAGTCCTACCAGGCAAACGTGATGCAATCTTTGACCACCTGAAACCAATTTGTTTGGAACCATACTTAGATATGGTAATGCTCTAAAATGAAAAAACAAAACAAAAATAGCTTTAAAAATAAAGAAAAAAAAGCATATTTTCTGATTTTGAGACACAAAAACTCACTTGTTTCCCAAGGCCTTATGTAGCCTTATTATGGTTTCCTCTTCCTCTATTGTAAAATTGCCTCTCTTTACATCAGGCCTGAGATAATTGATCCATCTCAAACGACAACTTTTCCCACATCGCAGAAGCCCTTAATATCATACAAATATTATGTGAGGGAGAGCTATGTTTTATAACATCTACACTAGGATCACATAGTCAAAAATTAAAACTTGAAATTTCTGATACCCTGGTTTTGAAGGCATGAATATTGCATGCTCTTTTTTTATCACCCTACTCTTTTATAATCAGCAATTGTAATTGGTCCAATTAATTTGGTTTCAAGTTTGTGTCTCTTCACCCTTTTGAGTAATTGAGACTCTTAGAATTCGAACACACTACCCTTTAGACAGATTAAATCTGACTATCTGGATCCCACTATATCAACAATTCTTAAATATTTAGATGTTTTTAAAAGTGTTTCCCGGAAAATAATTGAATTCAATGAACAAAAATAGCTGAAATATTCATTTGTTTACTTTAGGGGGAAACAAAAGAAATTAATTATATAATCCACACTAGGAAACTTCAAATTTGAAAATAGTCTTTTTCTTTAAATAAAAATTGAAATCAAAGATTTTATACTGGTATAATGACACCTAATAAAGAGATATCCTTATATAGTCTTTATGTGTATTTATGGTGATCATGGTAATTTTTCATACATTTAATGACATTCAATCTGGCTGGACCATATTAATGGCAGGTGGATATGTCAGCCATATAAAATGTTTTTATTTTAAGAGTAAATATTCTTTTTCGTACTCAACAAATTTTATGATACTCACTTTAGTCCTTAGCAAATAAAAAAACTATCTGTAATTCCTCACAAATTCAAAAAAGATCCACATTAGTCCTTCAGAAGAACTAAAATTGGTTCATTTTGAATATTTTAGAAATCACAAATAAATTTTTTATTTGTTAGAGACTAAAACAGATATCGTGAAATTTGCTAGAAAAAAAAAATATTTATTCTTGTTTGAATTTAGAGGGGTGGTACAATTGGTAAGTTGTACGACCTAAAAAGCGTGTGGATGTGATTGAAAAGTCTCTTGTTTAGATTCCTAGATGAAACTATTTGAGATTAACAACCTCACGAAAGAGATTAATCTCATTTAAATGAATAGAATATTAAAAAATTTTATTTAACTTTCTCTAACCATGATTTCAAATGTTATGGTTATGGGTAGGAGGGTCCACAAATTCACAGATTGGTGACAACGTTTCTAACTTCTCTTGCTAACCTGAGGGAAGCCAAATGTCACTACTTTCTGCCAAACTGTTTTGTCTTCATTCTTTTTATTATTGTAAATAAATCATGGGAAATATAACAATCATGTTGCAGGAATGACACTGTTCATTCCTGCAACAAGGATACGGCGTCGTATCCTAAGGATACGGCGTCGTATCCTGATTTTGGTTTGACTTTTTTTTTAAGCGTGGGACCCACACTTGATTTGTGTGTGTAGGAAAATGCTCTTGTCATGTCAAATAACAAAAAGGGAACCCATAAATCATATTCAATTAACTTATAGAAAAATAAAAAATAAAAAATCTACCCCAGAACAACCAGCAGAAAATTGCCAATGAATGAAATGAACAATTGATGTAGTAATGATACAAATGCAGAAACATAAATTAGGATTTATCACACGCATCAGATTTCAATAGAAGCAATAATGCAAATGCAAATCTAATAATGGATGATGAAAATTGCAAAATTTATTTCATTTCATTATAAAATGAAAGAGATCAAGTATAAAAAAGTGGTTGAAACTTGAAACTAATGCCATTATGATGGAAAAGAGAGAGACTATTCTCACAAAATTCAGTGCACCATGAAGACACCCCTTTTCCACAAAGTTTGTATCTTTGTGCACAAACACAGAGAGATAGAGAGAAAGAGAGAGAAAGGTATGATATATATATACCTGCTTGTTTGGGGAGAGAACGCCAATTTTCATGGCCATGTTTCTGGATGAAAGCAATGAGTTTAAGGTCTTCTGCAGGGCTCCAAGGTCCTCTCTTCACTTGAGTCTTGTCACAGCATGGTGCTCTTCCTTTCCCCATGATGATCTCTTTTCACAGACCCTTATGTCCAATAATTATATGCACTCTTGCCACTTTCAAAGGCCAAGGCTATATGGTTTTTCTCACATAATAGTTCAAATATGCTTCACTCATGTGTTCTCCCTCTGCCTATATATACTAAGGAAAGACTCTGCAATGAACCCACAAGAGTCATGCCACAAGTGAAAGGTGCAATGCACTAAATAGAATGAAATCCAGGAATATATTATTATAATAACTATGATGCATATGTTGTAATAAATGAATTTCTCTTTGTATTAATTCCTATTTATTAGGAAATCTCCGTAACTTAAATTTTAATGAATGTACTGTAGTTATTCAAAGAATTTAGAATTTGAGTTTTGTCTATTTTTTGGAGGTTTTCTACTACACGTGTCACACCACATATGGGAATGAGAACAGAGCCACCAACATTTTAAAAATGATTACACTTGCCTTCCTCATGTCAACATTCTCCCAACAATAAAATTGCTGACTTTCATTTTTTTTTTTTATGATATTTAATTTCAATTAATATATATATATATATATATATATATATATATTATATATATATTTATATAGTGGTAGGATCATGTTAAACCGATATAAAAATAATAAGTCTTACACATAATATTAACCATTAATTTTCGTGCATCTAATGGTTAAGATTTAATGGATCTCACTCATTAATTAATTATTAATTCCAATAAATCTCAACTGTTAGATGCACGAAATCAACGATTAAGATTTGATTTAAGACTTATTATTTATACATTTGTGTAAGTTGATCTTATCTCATATATTTATAAGTAAAATATTTCTCAAGTCACTTGAGATAACCTTATATTCGACCATCCCAAAATTACGTCGTTTTAGGTGTTAGGAGAATTAATGAATGGTGTTTCGGAGTGTTAGAAGAATTAACGAAGGGTGTTTTGGTACTTCTGTTTGTTTATTTATTACATGAATTTTATCAAAACATCCTTTATTAATTCTCCTAACACTCAAAATAACGTAGTTTTGAGTGACAGAAAATAAGGTTATCTTAAGTGACTTGAGAAACGATAACCGATGTATGTATATGTATATGTGTGTATATATATATATATATATATATATATATATATATATATATATATATATATAAAGATAGAGAGAGAAATATTAATCTTATCTTCGGCCACCCCAAAACTACATCGTTTTGGAAGTTATGAGATTTAATGAAGGCTGTTTTGGGATTTAGGATAATTAATGAAGAGTATTTTAGTATTTTTGTTTGTTTATTTATTATATGGATTTTATCAAAACATCCTTCATTAATTCTCTAAACACTCAAAACGATGTAGTTTTAAGGTGATCGGAGATAAGGTTATCTCAAGTGAATTGAGAAACGATTGACCCATATATATATATATATATATATATATATATATATATATATATATGAAAAAACATTTCTACAGCCATTTTAGATAAGATTATCTATAGCTATCTTAAAAATTACGTCGTTTTGATTAATGAAGGGTGTTTCAGTAAAATGCATATGATAAAAGAATAAACAAAAATACATAAACACCCTTCATTAATTCACCTAAAATTACAGAAACACCATTCATTAATCATAACGACGTAGTTTTTGGGTAACTGTAGATAACCTTATCTAAAGTGGTTGTAGAAATGTTTACCCCTATATATATATATATATATATATATATATATATATATATATATATATATATATAGTTCTTTTTTTTGGCAGTGAATGCAGATAAGTTATCTCAATTAAACCCAAAACGACGATATTTTGGGATAGAAATCAAAGTATTTTTGTAATTATAATTTATTCAAATGTTATAATAGTCTTTCTCATCATATTTTTAAATCTTTCATTTTAAAATAACGTCTTTTTTAGAGTGAAAGTAGATAATTTATTTGCATTCACTGTAGAAACATTAAGGTCATATATATATATATATATATATATATATATATATATGTATGTATGTATATATGTATATATATAAAATATATATGTATATAGGGTTTAACAGATGTACAATGACTAGATCTAAGGTTTGGTGCAGTCAAAATATTATATCTATGTATTACGAGTAGTACATAGTTATAATATTAAAGTTGTATTTTTTCTCTCTCTTCAGAATTTGAACTATATACTAGAGGCAGTACATCATTATAATATTATAGCTATTTTTTTCGCTCTCCTCAATAACTTTTCAGACAGTTGTCGGTGATGTAAGATAGAAAACAAATAATTTTAATATTATAACTATTTACTACCCATAGTACATAGTTCAATTTCTGAAGAGAGAAAAAAATACAACTTTAATATTATAACTATGTACTACGGGTAGTACATAGTTATAATTTTTTGACCACACCAAACCTTAAATCCTGTCACATGACAAATCATTTTGTCATATATATATATATATATATATATATATATATATATATATATATATATATATATATATATATTCTCATAGTATTCTCTTATTTATATAAAAAAGGGTTAAAAGCATATTAAAAATAATGTAGCTTTCTCTTTGAGATGATATATCAGTTTCTTAGTTTATGATATTGTAGAAAATTTAATACCAATAATGAATTCATTGTATACTCTTTCTTTTTCCCTTACGTTCAAAATTATCATTAAATTTTCTACCCAATATTTGTAGATTCCTTTTAAAATTTGCTCTATTTTGTCTTGCCTGCCATATATGCTCTGAGCTTTTTTATTCTTTCGTTGTATATTGCAAAAATACTTTTGGAAATGGATCTTATATGTGATTTAAAATTCCAGCTATTTTTATATTTTGGTAAGGAAAATCCCCAAATTTATGACCACTTAATTGTGGACCATGATAGAGAAATATCATAATCTTGTATTGGTTGATCTTTTTCCTTAATTTGTCATTTCTCGAGAGCCAAAATTTAATTTTGGGATTCTATCATAATGGTGATATTGGTGTGGTTAATAAAAAGTCAAAATCTCACCCAAAAATAAAAATAAAAAATTTAATGGTATAAGACAAAATTTCTTTCCCTAAAAGTTCATGCTTCAGTAGTAAGTAAATCTGTTCAGAAATAAAAAATCAAACACTGTTGCGTAAACCAAAAACATAAAATAAAAATGTTCTGCCTGAGTGGTAGAGATGTCTAACTAAGGGTTAGCTAGTTGATGTTGGATCTTGTGCTCTCTCTAGATACCTATGGATTAGGTATTCTGGGGGTAGCGAATCACGACACATAATATAACGACCTTAGCCAAAAGGAGGGGTGGTGTGTGTGCAATGTGATTGCATAAAATAGGTAAAAGAGAGATCAGCCATACCTGTGGTCTTTAACTCATATTTATAGAGTTTACCTTTGGGCTTATGTTGTCTGGGCCTTCCGAAAGTATGGGCCTTGCTCAGGTCCATAACAGTTGCCCCCCATCCCGGTAGACTGATAACTCAGGGTGCCGGGATGTGCGAGTTGTGCTACAATGTGGATGTTTTTACCTCGGTTTGGTTTTGCTCCGGTTTTCATTTCAAACTCCTTTGGTTTGATTAGGAAGGTCATAGGCAAGATACTCCGGGTGACCCCGGATAAGGCTCTAGCTGAGGTTCCTCCTTCATCCTGACTAGTCTTTATCTAATCAGGTGGATTGAAGCCGAGATATCCCAGCTGGATGATGTTGGAGCACCGTCAACCAGTCAAGGACATGAAGTTGATATAACCTCGGCTGAGCAGGGTTCTGTTCCCATTAGTAGTAACCTCTGCAAACAATTTCCTTGGGTGACAGATGAGGTTTTAATTTTCAGGTCGGTCATGACTACTGAGGATGTGTCTGGCCTTCCTATTGGTAATCCAGTGGGGTTCAACGCTTTCTCTCCAGCTGAAGACGAACCCATCTTCTCGGGTCGAAATCCTGAAGAACCACATTCTTTTTTCTTTTATCGAGATCTAATCACCAAGATTGGCATCCGTTTTCCCTTTTCAACTTTTCAAATAGAACTTTTGAACCATCTCCTTCTTGCTCCTTCCCAAATTCATCCTAACGGGTGGGCCTACATACTTGCGTTTGAGCAACTATGCTTATATTTGTCTTTACCATGTACAGTTCCTGTTTTCCTTTATTTTTTTAATGTGTACACCCCACGTACGGGCACTGAAGCTCCCAAATTTTTATAGTGACTCTTTTAAAGATTTCAAGGGCTCATATTTCAAAGTTATTGCTGAGGCCGGAGAAAGGCCATGGTTTATTGGCGAGGATTAAGAGGGGAAATTTCCCCTTTACTGGTCTCAGGAACATCACTTGCGCAAATCATTTGATTTTAAGTTGCGGTTGTCATGGGAAGATAAGATCCATGTCAAAGCTTTGCTAGATCATGTAAAGGCTCAAGGTCATCTGAGCGCAGCTTCCCTTGTAGCCAGATCGCAGGCTGCAGGCCAAAATAGTATTCATTTTGCCCTTTTTCCATGTTATTTTAACTTATTGTTTGACTTAACCATCTCTGTTTTCTTGCAGATTCCAATATGGAAGACGAACCAGATTATATCGCGGCTTTGCGAGGCAAGTCTTCAACCCGACCCACACTAGCTGGAAAAAGACAAAGGATCTCAAGTTCTTCTGCGGCAACCACCTCTTCTAACCCGATTACTAATCCTCCGGTATCTGTGCTAGACCTTACTGATGATGTGGACAGCTGGTTGGATGGAGGTCTTAACACCGATCCTCAAGCTGAAGTCACAGGTGGTGCAACATGTGCCATGGTGTTAGTGGACCACGGTACCACGATTCCCTCTGCTCTTCCAGCCAGACTAAGAAGAGGTACCTTATGGGAAACTGGGGTGCCCATCGAGATACGTGGTGTAACTCGCCCTCCACCTGCATTTTTTGGCTCCAAAGTTATATCAAGAGCTGAGATGGAAGAACTACAAAAAGTCGAGTTATATGCTTTCAAGGCAGCTTCCCTGTTGAAACCCTATTCACTTTTAC